TGCCTCAGACAGTACCGCGAATGATACCGACGGATTGCGTCATCCAACAGCTGATGAAAGTAGTTCGCGGAGCGATGTCAACGATTCAACCGGAAGTGCGCAGTTCGACAGCGTCGGTGGCAACAACATGGCTGCCATTATCCAATCTTTCAGTATAGTGTCGCAGTCTGTAGCACAATGCGCGTCAGGTCTCCAACAGACAGTCAGCCTTATCGCCAACCAAAAAAGTACAGAAAGCGGTCCTGCAAAGAAATTTGATCTAGCGCAGTGGTACCAGAATAGAAATATGGAGGACGTACCACTAGCCGTGCACGGATCCGTACAGAACCGCCCAACACTGCCACTGTCAACAACACCATCTCTTGGATATTTGTCCACAACTCTGTGCCCTACAGCTGGAGTCCGATCTGATGCATTCTCAAATGTGGATATTGTGTCTCCATCATTACAAAGGAGCATTATTGAGGGTAAGGATGTAAACTTAGGCGCTCTCCTTATTCCCAATTTTGAGTCTCCTGTAAACCATTCCATAATTGCAGACGGGGTGCATGTCAATTTAGCAAATAAAGCAGACCCAAGATTAAACAGGCATCTATCAATCCAAGAGTTTATTCAAGCTTTTGGAAAATTCAAAAGAATTATGTGTGGTGCTTACCCAGACCGTCGGGATGAATTAGATGCCTATGAAGCTGACATTATTAACATTAATAATTTCTATGGCCCAAAATTTTATGACTATCATAAAATTTTTACAGCAAAGGCAGCAGCACTTCTGAGGGAAAGGCATGTTAAGGTTGATTGGAGCCTTCGTGATCGTGACATCCTTTCTTTGATAACAGCGGGATCCTCAGTAAACGTGTGTAAAATCTGTAATTTAATTGATCATGCTACACAATACTGCCCATTGCAATCATCAGTCCAGGTTGAAAATTCCTCTTCAAGATCATATTCATCTAGCAACCTACAATCCGTAGACAAGCAAGGTCGTTCAAGAGTATTTCATGAAGGTCTGGAAATGTGCAATAATTTCAATAATCCTAAAGGTTGTTATAGGAAAGTGTGTTATCTCCTCCACAAGTGTACAAAATGTCGTGCAACAGGCCATGGTGCCTCAACCTGTAGGAAATCCAATAGCAATGTGCCTGTTCATTCTTCAACATCTTCAGTGTCCTCCAAGGGAAATAAATTGGAGAAACCAAATTCAGGATGACTATCCAAGGAAAAGTTCTTTTATGAAGCTTCAACACCAGTAAATGTTGATAAATTAGAGGAAGAGTTATCATCACATCCTGATAAAAATTTTGTATTATATCTATGTAATGGTCTGAGACAAGGTTTTGATTGTTTAGTTCAAGGGGAAATTTCAGAATCTAAAGAGTGTAAAAATAATTTTTCTGCAAGGTCTCAGGTTTTAGTTGTATCAGAGTTAATTAAAACTGAATGCCAAAAAGGCTTTGTACATGGACCTTTTCAGTCCGTACCTTCTGCAAATTATAGAGTGAGTCCACTGGGTGTTGCTGAAGGAAAATACTCTGGGAAGAAACGTTTGATTTTAGATCTTTCATCTCCACATGACAATGACAGTTTTCTAAGTATTAATGATATGATTGATAAAGAAGAATGTTCCATGTCTTATGTTAAAATTGATGACGCTATAAGAATTATTCTAAAATTAGGAAGGAACAGTACACTATGTAAATATGACATATCCGACGCGTTCAAAATTTGTCCTTACTTGCCATCCCAGTGGCCTTTATTTTGTTTCAAATGGCAGTCTTTTTATTATTATTATGTAAGATTAACTTTTGGCTGCCGGTCTAGTCCTAAAATTTTTGACACAGTGTCACAGGCAATTTGCCATATTGCAGAGAAAAATTATAAGATTAAGAACATTTTACATCTACTTGATGATTTTCTTACTATTGATCACCCAAGTGAAGATGGTGAAAGAAGCATGGCTATAATGATGACCATTTTTAAACGTTTAAATATTCCAATAGCCAAACACAAGACTGAAGGACCAGTTACTTGTCTAGAGCATTTAGGTATTATTTTAGATTCAAACAAAATGGAAGCAAGACTTCCAAATATTAAAGTACAGAGAATATGCGAGTTTATTTCCAAATTGTTGTCAAAATCATCTTGTACAAAGAGACAGTTATTACAGTTGTTAGGACATTTTAATTTTGCCACAAGAGTTATTTTACCTGGCAGATCTTTTTTGTCGTACCTAATTAATTTGTCAACTACTGTTAAACATTTAAATGAATTTGTACATTTAACTAAAGAATGTAAGGTAGATTTAGAATTTTGGTTGAGATTTTTGTCAAACTGGAATGGCATCACTATGTTTCATGATTGTTATTTTACATCCAGTTATGACTTTGAATTATATACAGATGCTGCTTCTACAATAGGCTTTGGGGGATATTTTCAAGGCAAATGGTTCTCTTCATATTGGCCTGTTAATTTACCTACTTTAACTGACAATTTGTCAATGGCTTTCCTTGAGCTATACCCTATTGTAGTAGCAGCATTGTTATGGAGCCACCTCTGGCCCTGTAAAAAGATATTATTTTGGTGTGATAATGAAGCTACTGTTGCTATTGTCAGAAAGGGACGCTCTAAATGTTTAGAAATCATGAAACTTATGCGTCAACTAACATGGTGTGCAGCTAAGTTTAATTTTCATTTTAGTGCTAAACATGTACCTGGTCATATTAACCAAATTTCTGATGCTTTGTCTCGTTTTCAGATGACTCGCTTCCGAAAACTGGCTCCACAGGCAGAGCAGCACCCTCATATATGCCCAAGTGTGTCAGAAGTAATGTGGTCTTAACAAACACAGTCAACACACTATGGTCTAATGCAGTAGCTATGAGGACAAGAGCTGTTTATGAAACAGGATATAACCATTTCAAAACATTTTTACTTTTAAATGGGGTCAACCTGAATGGGAACAAATTACCTCCCATTTCTGAAGAACTTTTAATTTATTTTGTTGGTCATTCTTTTCAAATTCTGAAGTTACAATATTCTACTATTAAGCTGTATATTTGTGGTATTAGATACATGTGCCTCATGGACGATATTCCCTCACCCTTTCAATCATCAGACAGAGACCACAAATCAATGGTTCGACTCTCTTTATTTCTAAAGTCGGTTAAACGTTCACAAAAACAGTCAGTCAGGCCAAGATTTCCAATTACTTCTGACATACTAAAGCAAATGTGTGTTAAACTGAAGAGAGGCTTTTTTTCAGAATTTATAGACTTAATGTTTGAAACTGTTTGTATTGTAGCATTTCATGGTTTTTTACGTTGTGGTGAATTTACTGTAGATAATGCATCTAACTTTGATTCAGAATCTAATTTATGTGTTTCTGATGTTACATTTTATGAAGATTTTGCAATTCTTCACCTAAAGCAGTCAAAAACAGATCCTTTTAGGAAAGGCATTGATATACAATTGCATAGGCTAAATAATATCCTATGCCCTTATACAACTTTAAAGAACTACTTACAATTAAGATCAGTTAAAGGAAAATGTGCACTTTCAGATCCATTGTTCATTAATGAAAATCTTTCAGCTTTAGAAAGAAAATATTTTATTACAAATTTAAAAATTTTATTAGAAGCCTGTGGATACCAAGCCGCCCTATATAATGGACATTCTTTTCGTATAGGTGCAGCAACCAGTGCTGGTAAAGCTAATATTGAAGATCACTTAATTAAAACATTAGGTAGATGGAGTTCTGATAGTTACTGTCGATATGTTAGGACAGAGAAATCTTCTATTAAGAACGCACAGCAACAAATTTGTAACAGTTAAAATTTGTACAGTTATTATGTATATTATGTATGTATATATATATATAAATCTAGGTAGCACTAAGATTACATGTTAACTCTTACACATTCTATTTTCATGAATTAGTCAGTTGTGTGTTATATCATTAAACTATGTACAGCTTAAATTGTGTTTAATAGAATTCCACAGTGTGTAGTTGAAGGTTTCATTCCTTAAAACCCAATTTTCCCCATTTATTACCTTGGGGGTCACTCAGCTGTTTCACACCTGACTTTTTGGACCCTTTCGAAATTGACCACTGGTCTAATTTCTCATTTCCCCCAAGTCATTAAATGTAATACATCTACATTTATTTCTCTCTCCACCGTCAATCTAACCCCCTTTTATCGTAGCCACCTGCTATGAGATGGAGCAACGCTTCATCCCCTTATAGGAACTCATCTGGTTCCGGTTGGTTGACGGAGTGTCCATGTCCATGGGGCTTGGTCCATCTATACCAAGTGTCGTCGACAGGGCCTGGAGCTAAATTTCCCTTTGCTGAGTACTTGACTCCCAAGGGCCAAATTATTTATATATTTTATTAATAAAAAATAGAAATTAAATAATCTTGTTGTCAGCAGCAAACTCATTGATATACTATTTGGTTATACTGGATTGTCTGTTTCAATCTTATAGGAATGTCCAAGTCTGAAGGTCTCGTTTATTGTCAAGGTTGTCAACACTGCAGGAGTATGTTAAGAAATAAGTTACAAATACTGGGTATAAAAGAATACCAGAGAACACCTAAACAAGAGAGCTACAAATACAGGGTATAAAAGAATACCAGAGAACACCTAAACAAGAGAGCTACAAATACAGGGTATAAAAGAATACCAGAGAACACCTAAACAAGAGAGCTACAAATACAGGGTATAAAAGAATCACCAAGATCACCTTTAAAAAGAGGAGTTTTAACAAAGTCACAGTTTACTTAATCATGAGGAACACCTAAACAAGAATCAACTAGCTAAACAAGGTACATGAATCATTATCGATAAACCACAGAAAATAGAATACAGACTAAACAATGAATAAAGTCATTACTTGCTGCATCCGTCGTATCGTCAATGTCATAGTTGCTACTGTTAAGTTATGGATTTCAGCCCTTCTGTCATATACCTAAGTCCCTGGAGTCATAGAATAAATGTACTTTTAATGATAAACTGTGACTATTTAATCATTATTTGCCATCGGTTATTGTTCTTCACATCTAGATGTCTTTCTTACAAAGTTTCAAACCACCATTACATTTACTTAACATTAAAATCACCTTTAACATTTACCAACACATTTCATACAATCATTTGGATAAATTTTGTATTGTTCACACAATCAATTCTGTATCATCAAGTTTCATAACATTTCATTATATCAAATTTACATTGTACTGTATAACAATCTTGTTCATAACTGTATGTTTATCCCATTGTAAACAAAATCATTCAATCATAATAAGGTCATACCATCTTTGAAAAAAAAAATGAATACTTTACATCTTAGTCTACCCCATAACTAGTATTATTTTGATATAAAAAAAAAATTCTCACATCAAACAAAAATCCATTTTATGAAATGTTCACTAGCATCCAAATTTTATCCTGTAAACAATGAAAAGTTTTACATAAATCTCAAATAGTGTACAGCTTGATGTAATCACTATTGAACTTTTCAAGTTTCATTCCTTTGAATGATTTTACCTACTTCAAATCAGTTCACATCTACACATAAAATAACTTTAATGTTAACCTTAATCCCTACTTACACCTTTATCATGTAAATCTTGGATCATTCAATCATAATAATGAGGAACCACAATTGTTTTGATTTTCAACCATGAAACTGAACTTAATAAATAATCCTTTGAAACTTTATTTTAATCTAGAATTTATATAGTTGACAGACTGATATAATCAAAGATGTGCAGACAATATTAACATGAAAACTATATGCAACATGCTTTTTATGGCAGGACATACAAAAAAGTATAAGACTCCATTACACAACAAAAAAAAAAGAAAAGGAAAAAAAAGAAGACAATTCACAGAGCCATATTGATGGTTAAAACAGTTTACCATATGTACTATTACGTTTTAGCTAGATAATTAAATAAAATAGAAAATTAGTTTTTATAACCAACTTTATACTTATATAATTGTGTTACATTATATGTTTATAATCTCACCAAATACTTTCAAATTGTAAGTGTTAATAAAGTTCAAGGTGAGGTGGATATTGTCATAACTTCACATTCTGAATCATCATCTGATATGGTATCATGGATAGTCGACATTGTATTGTCCAGATGAAAAACATTACTATTCCTTGATTTCATGGGTGTACTTTGAAACAACTCTCTTCTTCTATTTCCATTTGAATCTCTGGACAAATCATGCATTACATATCTTTCTTGGTCATTTCTCCTGTGGTCTTTAGTTAAATCTGTTCTTGTTGGTTTTCTAAAGAGTGTATTTATTGATTGTTTGGTCTGCTGAGTTGATTTGAACACTTCATTTTGAATGACATTTGATGTTGGCACAAAAGGTTTCTTACTATTCTCATCAGAAACATATCTGCTTGTCATATTTGTTTTTGGCTGTCTATTTAACATGCTTTTAACTTCTGGGAAAGTTTTTGTTCGTCTTAAATCTGAAGATGGCTTTTTGAAAGTTTCATTTTTTGTTGTTGTAACATTAAATAAGTCATCCATCTGTGTTGATTGTTCACCTGAAGTTTTAAATTTAGAAAAATGTTTACGATTACCTGGTGATGGGGTACTAAGTAGCATACGATTACCTGGTGATGGGGTACTAAGTAGCATACGATCACCTGGTGATGGGGTACTAAGTAGCATACGAGAGAAAATTGTAGATGGAGATTGTTCATTTGAATTGAAGGAGTATGGATGTTTTTTACTTGGAGTATGTTGATCTTCAGAGAAAGGCAACCTAATTTCATTGTTTTGATATCTCATTATCTGCTGTTCATTTGTTTCCCTAGAGACTTGTTGTTCACCATTCTCAATCATATGCAGACTTCGTTTTGCTTTCATCTTTGTTCTGCTGGTGGCCTGTAACCTTTGCTCCAGAGGTGACATTAACAAACCAGACTGCTCTGAAGTTCTAGAATTTTGCAGTAACTTAGCTGGAACTGATTTACTTGCGTCTTGAAACTGTTGATGCTTATGCAAGTCTGGAGAGTAGAAAGATTTGTTAACATATGATTCTATGCTTGATAAATCTTTTGCACTTCTGTATGGAGATGCATTTCTATTTAGCTGTGAATTTTCATTTTTGTTTCTTATTACTGTCTCAGTCTGATATGATACAATGCTTTGATCAATGGTCTTTGACCAATTCCAATGTCTCAATCCAGACTGAGGTAGATGTTTGTGACTTGTTTCTTTTGACGGGTTCTTACTACACGTAGACAGATATGTAAGGGTTTCCTGGACTGGTTTTACTTTAGGTTCAACTGGTTTATCAAACTTTCTATGAAATGATTTTGGAGATAAAAATGTTGCAACATCTTTTTCAGGATGAAAAAGTAGTTCTATAAGTTTGGTAGTATCTTCTTTAGGAACAAACTTCCTTCTTGCTCTCTTGTTCAAGTTTTTAATCTTTACAGGAGAAACACATTTTTCAGTAGCAGCCATTTGGAAGCCAGCAGGTATCTGGAAGTTTGCTGGATTCTTTTGGTCATGATAACACCTTTCTCCTTGTCTGATAGCATTAACATCCTGAATGCCCTTCCCATTTACACCTTCCTTTAACATACTTTCTTGAACAATGTTGTATTTGTGGAGTTTTGATGAAAATTTAGATGGCATATCTAAAGAATTGTTTTGGTTAAAATTCCCATTTGTTATTGAAGGTTTCATACCAGACTCCTTGATGCAATGTGATACAACATAAGAAGTGGGTTTGAGTTCAAACACCTCACCATTTGTAGACCTCTTATGAACTTTCTCTTCATTAAACTTAATAGCCGGAGTACTAAATGCAACGTTACTTCTTTCCTTAGAAAATCTACGGGGTTCAGCTATTGTAGATTTTTTTGTGTTAATATCATCATTTTCAAGAAAAAAGTCTACATTCTCCCAATCTTTCATTTTCCTTTGTGTAGGAGACAAAACTGTTGTTGGTTTCTTTGTTTGATGAGTAAATCTTTTCACTGGTTGGAGATTTTTCTTAGTTTTGTCTTCAGTTTGTATGGTACTCTCAGTCATGATTATCTTTGCTGCGATACCTACTTTGTTTTCTTTCATCTTTTTATATAATCTATCTGGAGAAGCAAATCGTGTAATAACAGGTACCCTTGAAAATATCATTTCATGTCCACTTACTTGTGAATTAGTAGGTTGTAATTTGTTAAGCTCTAATAAACTGTCTCGGTCTTCTGTTGAAGTATTGTTTGAAGAAAACCTTTGTTTATTCATCATTTTCATATTTTCTTTTTTTCTCGATACTTTTTCTTGGTTAGATACTTCTGAGGCCAATGTTAGTGGAACAATTCTTTTTATGGATTTCCCTATATCATTTCTTGAACTCATTTGAAGATCAGTTGATTTATTCTTAATAGTTTGTGAATTTTTTTTATGCAGCATTGTGTTTGTAGAATGATCTTGCACATACGTGCTGGTTTTATGATTCACATTCAGTTTGTGAGTGTTATTATGTTCTGAATGAAAGTTGTACAATCCTTTGTTGTTTTCAGAGACGACATAAGTGTGGTTAGCATTTTGAAACCCTTGACCCCTTGTGAAATTAATATCACTTTTAACCTGGTTCTGTCCCGTCACTTTATTAATATCTTGCAGCCATTTCTCAATTCTTTCATTTTGTTGATACTCCATAGTACTAGTTTTCATGTCCTCTGGTGTTTTATAATTGAAATTTGGCTTAAACATAACATCTATGTTGCTATATCCTTGAGTTGTAGATCTTTTAGGCTCAATATTTGACTTGTCAGTGTTAATTGATTTGCCAGTAAAATAATTCTTTGACCTGTTAATTTCATTGTTTTGATGGCTCATTTCTTTAGGTCTTGCTGGCTTTGTATAACCAGATTTATCTTTATTCTTACATGAAAAAAATCCATCAATTTCATCATACATTGCACTTCTGTCTTTGTTGGGACCACTGCGCTGTAAAACAAAATACAAATTAATAATCATTACCATTATCATAATCATAACGATGTTATAATCATGATAATTAAAATACAGATTTTGCCTTCATGGAACCAAGCATTATTATGTGCAATAATTTGCTCAAAAACTTTTCCTTCTCTTTGCTTTTGTGATATCCAACATTTTTTGAGAATATACTGTCATTTTTAATACTGTGAAAGTACTTTTATTCGTGGGTATCTTTTTATGTGGTTTGAGCAATAGTTACATGTTAGTGGTTTCTTAAATTCACGGATTTCCATTTTTTTTTTAAATCAAGTGAAGAATTTGAAATCATCAGTAACGAAAATTCTTGAAAATAATGACTATTTCCGAAATGCTACAAATGGATTTGAATTAATCATGAATTAATTCTTAAGAAATAAAAAACCAAACCCAATATGAAACTTCTTTTTCGTTTGAGAATTATGAGGAGATAAAATGATCACTTCATGAAGTAAAACTGAAAGCTTAAAAGCCATACAGTTTAGGTTTTTTAAAGATTAAATGAGTAAAATCCTGTCTGATTGATAAGATTGATTGTTGGTTGCTTAACGTCCAGTGGTAAAAATCTTGTCTCAAGTTGTATATATAATTCATAGTGCGTTTGCTGAAATTCTATGTTTTCTCTAGATTAAATGCCCGTATTCATGTAGTCAAACCTACATGGGGTTTCCATGTCTTTAGTTGGACAACAGTTATTAAATTTTGTTGGACACTTAAATTCATGGATAAAGCCATCCATGAAAAAACATGAAACTGGTACCCACGAATAAAAGTACTTTCACAGTTATGCTATACTGTGTTTACTGAATGTTTTTACTCCTTCATGAGTGCTGAGCACTGTGAGAAGTAGTTTTTCTAAGAAATTTCAAAATGTGTATGACTTTTTAAAGATATATGCTTGTCAGCAGCCAGGAAATAAAACATCAAAGGAACTGAAAACATGTCACATGGAATGGTTTAACCTGATGAAGCTTGGTGCTATATATCACATGGAATGGCATAACCTGATGAAGCTTGGTGCTATATATCACATGGAATGGCATAACCTGATGAAGCTTGGTGCTATATATCACATGGAATGGTATAACCTGATGAAGCTTGGTGCTATATATCCTTGGTGCTATATATCACATGGAATGGCATAACCTGATGAAGCTTGGTGCTATATATTACATGGAATGGAATGGCATAACCTGATGAAGCTTGGTGCTATATATCACATGGTATGACATAACCTGATGAAGCTTGGTGCTATATATCCTTGGTGCCATATATATATCACATGGAATGGCATAACCTGATGAAGCTTGGTGCTATATATTACATGGAATGGAATGGCATAACCTGATGAAGCTTGGTGCTATATATCACATGGTATGACATAACCTGATGAAGCTTGGTGCTATATATCACATGGTATGACATAACCTAATGAAGCTTGGTGCTATATATTACATGGAATGGCATAACCTGATGAAGCTTGGTGCTATATATTACATTGAATGGCATAACTTGATGAAGCTGGGTGCTATATATTACATGGAATGGCATAACCTGATGAAGCTTGGTGCTATATATCACATGGAATGACATAACCTGATGAAGCTTGGTGCTATATATCACATGGTATGGCATAACTTCAGGGTTGGCAAAGTATTACCCGGCGGAAAAACCCGGGTCAGGGTTTTCCCAGGTTGGGCAATACTCATAGAAACGGGTAATACTGGGTAATACTGGGTAATACTGGGTAATATGATTTTCAAGCTTATTTTTACACAAAATAGTAAGGACTTGTTGTAGTTTTATAGCTTAATATATACATTTTATACAGATAACCATTGAGAGTCATTCCTGAAGATTGAAGATTAAATTTCTTCCTTTTCTCCACTAACTCTATGTAAGCAGAATACAAGTTTTGGTCATATCAGGTACCTTGTTAATTTCCAAGCTTTGTTTCAATATTAAATTCAAGTTGAAAAAATGCATTTTATTGCAGTGTTTAGGTGAATTGTAAATTTTAATTGTGATACAATAACATTGCTAAATAAACACCCTAAGGGGACAGGCCATGAACACTTATGTAAACAAATCTGTGTTATAATCAGATTAACTACTTATTAATTAGTGATGTACATAAAAATATGCTAAAACTTAGTAAACATTGTTAGTAATGAACAAAAATTTTTTAAAAGAAATTTTCCTTACATAGAATTGTTTATTCTTAATATAAGTTATAATTATCAAAAAAAAAAATTGAATTCTTTGACTTTAAGTCAACACCTTGACTAATCTTAACAGAATGGTGATTAGGGAGCTACCATTTGATTTTTAGGGGGGGCTAGGATGAAAAATTTTTTCCTGCATTTTTTTTAAATGTAATCTCTGTCCTGCCTTTTTATTTTTTACTCTATTCGGTCCTGCCTTTTTTTTTATTAGTTTATCCTGATTTTTTTTACATAAATTGTCATCCTGTCTTTTTTTTTGCCAAGTTGCTCATCCTGCCTTTTTTTTTTACTCAAAACTCCTGTCCTGCCTTTTTTGTCAAATTTCATCCTAGCCCCCCATAAAAATCAAATCTTTAGATAGATTTTTAGGATTATTATTAAGAAAAGCTTTTCACATTTGTCTTATGTGTCTTCATGTACACTTGTCTTAGAGTTGCTGGACCATGAATATTTTTTCAGATTTATACACTTTATATAGAGTCTCAAAAAAGTGAACTTATAAGTTAAAATACTTTATCTTATTTTTATAAAAATCTTTAATGTATTGCATTTGTGATTAATCACTGAATCCTCTTTAAAATTCAGGCCAGTATTTCATATTACCCAGTATTGCCCAGTATTACCCGGTTAAACCCAGTAAAACCCCGGTTTTCCAAGTATTTCCCACTGGGCTGGGCAATACTCATAAAACCAAGGTTTTTGCCAACCCTGCATAACCTGATGAAGCTTGGTGCTATATATCACATGGTATGGCATAACCTGATGAAGCTTGGTGCTATATATCATATGGTAGGGCATAACCTGATGAAGCTTGGTGCTATATATCACATGGTATGGCATAACCTGATGAAGCTTGGTGCCATATATCACATGGTATGGCATAACCTGATGAAGCTTGGTGCTATATATCATATGGTAGGGCATAACCTGATGAAGCTTGGTGCTATATATCATATGGTAGGGCATAACCTGATGAAGCTTGGTGGGGCATAACCTGATGAAGCTTGGTGCTATATATCACATGGTATGGCATAACCTGATGAAGCTTGGTGCCATATATCACATGGTATTACATAACCTGAAGAAGCTTGGTGCTATATATCACATGGTATGGCATATCAAGATATAGCTTGGTGCTATATATCATATGGCATGGCATAACCTGAAGAAGCTTGGTGCTTTATATCACATGGTATGGCATAACCTGAAGAAGCTTGGTGCTATATATCACATGGTATGGCATAATCTGATGAAGCTTGGTGCTATATATCACATGGTATGGCTTACCAAGATGAAGCTTGGTGCTATATATCACATGGTATGGCATAACCTGAAGAAGCTTGGTGCTTTATATCACATGGTATGGCATATCCTGATGAAGCTTGGTGCTATATATCACATGGTATGGCATAAACTCATGTCCAAACTTCATAAAATTCGATAAAGGTTTGACAAAGTAATTGATGAATAAATTTTTTTTAAACACAGCCACCTTAATGTTGATGCAGCCTTTGAAGGAGTCTGAGATTGTTATGTCTTGCTTTGGAGACAAAAATGTTTTAGACTCGACAAAAATATAATCCCAGATGGTATGTAATTGTTAATTGCAAAACAAAGGTAGTCCACTTATCAGTAAAATACGTAAATTAAAAATATTGAAAATTAACAATTCAGACATTATCTCTTAATCATAATAAAGCTTCTGCCAAGTTTCATTAAATTCCAAGGAGGTTTGATAAATCTATTGATGTCTTAAAAAACTTAAACCACAGACTGAACCTAAATGTGTCAAGCAGCAGACGAAGAAGTATACGATCCTAGACAAAATGTTGCAGGCTTGACAAAAACCATAATAAAATACTCACCTGAACACGATTCTTATTCAAAACATTAACATTATCCTCTGTAGATGACAAAGAGCTGGTATCTTGGTCCATGATGTCAATGGGATGGGGACCTTTGTCACCTGTCTGACTATCTTCATCGTCTCCATCCTCCGAGCCATCCTCCATATCACCTGCACTGTCAGAGGAGTAAGAACTGAGGGTCTCAGCATCACTAGGTTCATCATTCTGTTCACTGATAATCTCATAGTAACTAGCTAATATAAATAATACAAACATTTATCACCATGTTTGAGGAATAGAACTACAAAATTGGAAAGTTTTAGTTTTTACTGTTGCATAAAAATTTTAGTTCAGGTGCATAATTTCATATGTTTTCAATATATTTACAATAAGGTTGCTTAACAAGAGTGCACACGCTGAAAGGTCTCGCCTGCCTTACTGACCATTGATTTTATGCTGATAGTCCTAAATATAAAGTTTTACTACAAGTATTACATAAACTTAACATGATGAAAGAAAATGAGGTCAAGGTCAGATATAAAACCAAGCCAGAAATACATGTACACCTTAAAATCATTCCATACACCAAATATAGTTGACCTATTGCTTATAGTATACAAGTCGTTTAAGAAAGACCAAACCATGAAAACTTTATATTAAGCAAAGAACCATGAAAATGAGGTCAAGGTCAGATGAACCCTGTCAGACAGACTTGTACACCTTACAATCATTACATGCTTTAAATATAGTTTACCTATTGCATATAGTATCTAAGAAACAAACTTAACCAGGAAAACTTAACATTGACCTATGAACTATGAAAATGAGGTCAAGGTCAAATAAAACCTGCCAGACTGACATATACATCATAAAATATTTTCATACACCAAATATAGTTGACCTATTGCATACAGTATTAGAAAAACAGATCAAAACACAAAAACTTCATTTTAACCACTGGCCCATGAAAATGAGGTCAAGGTCAGATGACACCTGCCAGTTGGACATGTTCACCTTACAATTATTCCATACACCAAATATAGTAGACCTATTGCTTATAGTATCTGAGATATGCACTTGACCACGAAAACTTAACCTTGTTCACTGATCCATGATATGAGTTCGAGATCAAGGGAAAACTGTCTGACAGGCATGAAAACCTTGCAAGGTACGCACATACCAAATATAGTTATCCTATTACTCATAATAAGAGAGAAATTAAGAATACTAAAAATCTTATCTTTTTTTTTTCAAGTAGTCACTGAACCATGAAAATGAGGTCAAGGACAATGAACATATGACAGACTGAAACTTCATAACATAAGGAATCTATATACAAAGTATGAAGGATTCAGGTCTTACAAAAGTAACTAACACTGTTCAGCAATTACTTTAGAAGCAATTAAATATCTCACATTCTATTTTATAATATATTAAATTATTATATAAGAATGATGGATAAATACATGCGGTTAAGCAAAAACCATGACAAGAATTGTTTGGAGCTATGTTATTGAGTCTGTGATGTTAATCGACTTCATCACTCTGCTGATTCTTTTTGGTTACTTTCCAAATAAAATAAGTTTAAATTCGAAGACTGACACATAAAAACACCTAAAAAAGGAAAGTTTTTTGGGGAATATCTCCTCTTTAACATTTTCAAAAGGTTATTGATGACTAAAAAACTTTAACCCAAGATTGTATTTAAATGTTAACTACAAAAAAAATAAATGATTGAAAAATTAACTCTGGATACTGCCAATTGATAATGAAAAAGCTCATGCTCAAGTTTCATAAAAATTCCATGAAGGTTTTACAAAGTTATTGATGTCAGAAAAACTTTTAACCTTAGACTATATTTTAATGTTAAATGTGAAAAGATGTTCATTTATCAGTAAAACACAGAAAGTCTCTGTTTTGTTGAAGCATTCTTAAAATTATTGAAAGGAAATCTAAAATTTGTATTGTTTCACCAATGGCAAAGGGTCATTCATAATTATGAACAACAAATCTTCAATGTGTAAAATTCAAGCAACCAAGACAATGTATAAATTGACATTGGATTTTGTTAAGATATAAAATATTGTCAGTTATACATTTCTGTACCACTAACTTTTTAGTGCTAGAAATTCTGAATCCTCTTCATTCACAGGTTCAGGTTTATAAGACTGCGAGATTGTTTCTTTGGTAAATGTTTCTTCCACATCAGAAAAATATCTATCAGATGGACTCCAATTGTTTATAGTCTGCAATGATAAATTTGTATTATTAATTATTTATTAAGATCTGTTACATTGTGAGGAGGTACTATGTGACAATCTTTGATGATTTAATTTTACAAATAAATTCAATAAATATCTGCTGGTTATAATTTATCTATTCACATTACTTACTTTACATCCAAGTCATTTGCATTTGGACTCTGGGCAGTCTGGTGGATATATATGTATCTAAAGTTTACATTTTGTTTAAATTTCACAATTTATTACCCTCACTCTAGGCTATATTATTATATCCTCACTCTAGGAATGGAGGGTATATTATTACCATCATGATATCCCACCCTAGGAGTGGGGCTGTACTGTATTCCCCTTGTCCATGTGTCCAACAATATTTCAGGTACTAATAAACAGAATGTCTTTATATTTGGTCAAGAGCTTGACAGTCTTGATTTGTAATGTGTGTGTGCTTTTTATACGCCTGTTTACGGACATGTCGGACAATAACTCAAAAATGCTTTGAGCAGTTTTCATCAAACTTTGGTAAATTGTTTATATATATTGACGTGAGCTTCCTTTCGATTTTTTTGAATTTTAGATTTTAGGTTTTTAGAGTTATGGGGTTTTATTCAATAAAAAAGGGGGATTTTCCAGTTTTTGGACTATAACTCAAAAATGCTTTGAGCAGTTTTCATGAAACTTTGGTGAATTGTTTATATCTATTGACGTGAGCTCCCTTTCAATTTTTATAAATTTTGGATTTTACTTTTCTAAGTTGTGGGGTTTTATTCATTAAATAAACTGTTAACACAGAGATATGTCTCGCCTTTTTGTACTTTTGATAATGCAAATGTTGAAATTAAAATAGCAATACTTTAACATGTAAGTCATGCAAATATTCAAAGTCAATGAACCAAGACTGAAGGTACATGGCAAAACAATCTCCATGGAAATGAGATGTGCCAATGCTAATACAACTGCATACCAAATACCATAGACTTATCATAAGTTGTTCCCTTTCAACAAACTTAAACACAAACATTGACTTGTAAACTATGTAAAAGTTTCAAAGTCAATGAACCATGATGAAGGGGTGGGGCTATATAATCTCCATGAAAATGAGACTTGCAAATGCCAATAAATTTGCATACCAAATATCATTGACTTAATATAAGCGGTTCATCTTAAACTGATCTAATCACAAACTAATACATGTAAACTTAAGCAAAAGTTTCAAAGTCAATAGACCATGACTGAGGGGGCAGGACCAAATATTCTCCATGGAAATGAGATGTGCTTATGCTTATACAATTGCATACCAATTAACATTGGCCTACCACTAATGGTTCCCCTTGAACTGACCTAATCACAAACTAATACATGTAAACTAAGCAAAAGTTTCAAAGTCAATAGACCATGACTGAGGGGGCAGAGCCAAATAATCTCCATGGAAATGAGATATGCCAATGCTTATACAACTGTATACCAAATATCATTGACTTACCACTAGTGGTTCCCCATAAACTGACCTAATCACAAACTAATACATGTAAACTAAGCAAAAGTTTCAAAGTCCATAGACCATGACTGAGGGGGTGGAGCCAAGTAATCTCAATGGAAATGAGATGTGCCAGTGCTAATACAACTGTATACCAAATATCATTGACCAACCACTAGTGGTTCACCTTAAACTAGACCTAATCACAAACTAAAACATTGTTGATGGCGCGGCCACTGCCAGAAACAGCATACCTATGTATCGCTTTTAGACTCCATCAAGGCAAGTCAAAAAGGGGGATTTTCCAGTTTTCAGACAATAACTCAAAAGTGCTTTGAGCAGTTTTCATTAAACTTTGGTGACTGGTTTATATCTATTAAAATAACCTCCCTTTAGTTTTTTATAAATTTCTGATATGACATTGAGGAGTTATGGTACTTTATTCTTTGAAAAAACGACAGGCGTATCATGCGCTCCACTTGAGGAGTATTGTCTGGGCCGGTAAATACCGCCGGTAAATACCAGGGGGCGGTATTTACCGTCCAACCTTGTGGCGAAACTCTTTATTTTATCTGTCAGACACCTAGTTTGTATTTACTGACACAGTCTAATATTTAGTCCTGATGACCTGGCAGCGATGAGGTCCGAGTACACAGTTATTTCGTAGTGCATTTCTTTTAGACAATAAATGAAAATTAAAAAAATCCCACCTGCGCTTTCTCAATAATATTTTTACAGTGTGTTGTACTACTTTTGGGACAAATTATATCAAAATTATAGAAAACTTCATCGGCTCTAACTCAAAATTTGGACAATTTTATGTTAAGGGGGTCTTGAAATCTTTTGACATCTTCCGAAGTGCTTATTTTTAACCTTTTTCAGCTGGACCAAATCACTACTTTACTTTAAAATTCATGACCCAAATTTTTTTACAGTGTAATTTCATCCCCCTACTTGCTATTTGAGGCATAAAACATGGAGAAATAAATTTGGAAGGGGTATAAAAAAAATTGGCAAGTAACACACTGTCCACACTAGGGACTATATTTGTGGACAACGAAAATCAAAGGACGATAACTGTGTACTCGGACCTAATAGGATAGAAAAAATTGACCAATCTTAATAAAACTTGGTATGACCAAAGCTTAATAAATTATGAGACTGCTTACAAAGTTTCATGGCAATAAGATATAAATTTTAGACAATATGATAAATTCTATATTCAACTTTGCGTGTTAAATTTTGACGTTAAAATTGAAAAATTTCAACTATCAACATTTGAGGCTTTTAAAATTAAAATATTGCAAAAAAATACTTTTAAAATGCCTTAATATATAATATATCATGTATTAATAGCAATAGAGTATTCATTTGATATATCAGACTTAGCATAGTTATTCAAAAGTCAAATTTATATGAGCCTGTGCCTAAAAATGGAGGTTTTCCAATGAAGGGGGGTCTTACATGAAGATGTAATATTTTCCAGCAATTTTAAATTTTTGAAGCTTTTTGGTTATAAATAATCCTTACATATGTATTTAATGTACTTTAAATGGAAA